TCGCTTCCCGTTTTTCAGGAGATGAACGGAGTGACTGCGTCCCCCGGAGCCGGGGCCGCTGCCGAGGAGGGCCCCTATACCGTTGACAAGGCCGCCCTGCGAAAACGGCTCACTCCGCTCCAGTACCAGGTCACACAGGAGAAAGGAACAGAACGGTACGTACCTAATTGAAGGTTCTTGGGATAAAGCGCAGGTCACAACTAAAGAACAATCTACTCAGCAACTGTATGTTTGGAGAAGAGCTGAAACTTCACGATTTTCTCTAAAGAAGTTTAACTTTCTGTGGCCTACCAAATGCATCCAAGAACGTCTGGATGTTTGATTAGATTTTTTTCTACCGTTTCTTAACACAAAAACTAGCTCAGAATTAGCTCATGAAGCCGCGACTGAGCTCGTTTTTGCGATGAAAGAAGACCAGAAGTCGGTCCCGGAGAGATCTCAGCAGATTTAATCCCAGCTTAGCTGTGCACTACTCTACCGGTGGCAGCGGCCCAGTGTGCGCCGGTGCAGATACCGGTTCGGTCACTGCTCCGGTGAGTGTGGGCGAGGTGACATGCGAGGCCCGTATGGTGCGCTGGGGGAGGGGAGGGGTCGTAGTGGTTGGTCGGTGGGCACGGCTTGTGTTGAGGGACGAATGACATTCCCCGCAATACGGTGAGTTTACATATTCTAAGGTGAAAGATGTGTATGTAGCCATATGTCTCATTTCAACCGGATGTTTCCGAAAACTAGCGGCATGCCCTTTACTCGATGTAATTAAAATTCATTCTGCATGACAATCTGTGATCCCTTTCACGGACATACCCCCGTATCACTACCGTCAATCGATCCTCGTCACCGCCTGTGGCCTTGGCGACGTCAAACGTGTTACACTCACTCCGTGGAATCGACACCACTGCACTGGGCTGACCTACACTACTAGCCCCCCCTCCCCTCCCCTCCCCGGCTGTCTGGGTGGCTTCATCGCTGACATGACAGTTGGCACGGACAGTCGTCGCCACTGCCAGCTGCGGGGGTGGAAGCGGGGAGGGTGAGGAGGGGGAGGGGGCGGGGTGCGACACCCGCATTGGTATGACGTAGGATTATGCTGTCCCTACCTATTTGGTAACCATGATAAGTAGAAAGGCGGTATTGTGATGTCATATCTTTAAGCACAAATTAAGTAAATAAAAATCGTCAAGCTAGCAAAATGCACAAACCACAAGGACACAGGGAAAGAGTGAAAAGTCCAGATTCAATGGAAACACGGGACCGGAACGTCCGTTTAGGTCACTGCTATTCGCGTTGAAAGGATTAGGTATGACATAAAGCTGCATATCAATATCGCATTTCTTCTGAAGCTGCGCCCATTGCCATTTCCGTCTGGTTGCATGCCTGTTTTACATCGGGGGAGTATCACAGTCTCCAGCAGCACAGGAGCCGGACCATAAATGGATCCAGCGAGTCAGATATGGTCGCCGGATCCGGCAGGTGCGGCGTACCGCGTACTCGTCACTTGTTCGGCGTACCATTCACCTGTCGGGTACAGCGTAGTACACAAGTCACGACCGGTGTACGCCTTTGGCTTTGAGATGCTACCATGGCCGGATTAGTACGGTGACAGTACCGTGCAGGGCGCAGCGGGAGAGGAAGCGGGGGCGGGGGCAGGTCACGCAGAGCCGGGGCCCCACGCAGTTCACCGCCGTCGCCGCTGTCGGCTGATCTGTTACTCCTGACCTTGGCTCCCCTGGACCGTCTGCCTACGCAGCGACGTTCCTGGCTGGACAGCGGACAAGGTTCACCTGGCAAGCCTACCAATTTCCTCGCCGAGCATCTTGCCACTCCTGTCCATTTCACATCCCGCCGATAGTCTCCCATCCTGGGGATTTATTTTTCCCCGTCCCGATTCCACACCCAGCTGACCTCTAACCGAGCCATCTAGCTGTGTACTGAACGAGCACAGATGTACCGAACGACTCCACCCAGCCGGAGCGGAGGAGGACAGGGAAAGAGCGAACATCCCACTCCTGACATTCTTCAACGGAACAACCCTCCCCGTCTATCCCCCAGAGCCTTCACGGGCCGGTTCAACAAGCACCGCGAGCCGGGACTGTACCGGTGCCTGGTCTGTGGACAGGCCATCTTCAGTTCGGCTACCAAATACGACTCCGGCTCCGGATGGCCCAGCTTCTATGACGTCATCGACGCCAAACGAGTGAAACTCAAGTCAGACCTGTCTCACGGTAGGTGCGGGGGGGGGGGAGCGGCACCGCACAGCAGATGCACGCTCCTGTGTGTTGCACGGTTGTCGCTGCATGTAGAGGATTTCAAGTTAACCGAATTTTATTTTAAATGCTTGACGATAATTTTCGTTCACCTGTTGCATCAGTAGCATCCCACAATTAATCCGTTCGATTGCTAGTAAGGCTGTCCGTTTGCTGTGACCTAACGAACTGTTTTGGCTACTGCCCGCCCTGGCGTTCAGCCACCGGAGCTGTTTTGTCGCCTGTTCACTGAGAGCCTGTCGTGTCGTACCCATTGTGCCCGCTGCCAGCCGGGCTGACGTGTCCTCTGCGCCGATCACGTCATCTGGTCCTGTGACGTCATCGGTCTCCCGGTGACGTCACAGGTCAGCAGAGGGCGATCGGCCGTAGGAGCAGACTAGAGGTGGCAAAATGTGGACCCGAGGACCCGGTGCAAAGAACCAGTCTGGACCCATACGGGTCCAGACCGGTTCCTGGAAATTTTCGGACGGGTCCAACCGGGTCCTACCATAAACTGTACATCTTGCACACATTATTGCAAAATATGAAGTAAATGAAGCGAATGTTTCTTGGTACACAGTAGCTCATGAGTATTCCCAGTGAGAAATAGGCTGTTTTACATGATGCAACTAATGATACCTACAAGTAGTTCGTATTAATTGACTTTGGGGAACCGGGTCCAACTGGTTCCGATTCCAACTAAGGACGGGTCCGACTGGTTCCAGAAATGTCCAGCCGGGTCTGGTTCGAGTCTGGTTCCCAAAATTTTCATCTTTTGCCACCTCTAGAGCAGACGTGTTGGCCGGTGTGCCCGTCCCTATATTTAGCTTCCTCGTGGCTGTGTGCAGGCTGGGTGGAGCGCGCAGCATGCCTGGTGGAGGGATGGGTGACCGCTCTCCCGGGGCTGACCGGCGGCAGAGACGACAGCGCTCAGCTGTCAGTCGATAGCCGAGCCCAGTCATGACCAAGGTATGCGGTGATTGGCTGCTGACTCCACGGCCAGGCTTTGTTCGTCGTCAGAGGTCCGTCTTATTCCCAGAACATGAGAGCTCCGATCCGTTCCATTGATGTTGGTATTTCCAATCTAACGCTGGACGACAATCCTTTCTCCTAAGAGAATCGATTTACAAATTACCCAAACGCCAGCCATTACCAGTTAAGTGTAAGAAATTCCAAACATTTTGAACAACACGCCTCGTCTTGATGAGCCTAGCCACTTTGCATCATCGACATCCCATGGACGAACATTTGCATCAAATATCGATGTAATCCGTAATCGAGAACGCCCCTCCGATATTAAACGAGAGTTTTTATGATCCCACTGATCTGCACGGTACCATTATGCATGCAATGGTAGAGAATGGCTTCGGACATTCTTTATAGGCTAAAGGCTTTCATGCCTATCGCTTTAACTAACACGATTGAGTTTGCTTGCACGATTTTCAACTAATGGTGATAGTGACTACCATACATCGCAGTGTATTCAGCATATGACTGGACTTTACAACGACGCATCGTTTATCAATTGCCAACAAGCGTGGTGACAGTTGATGCTTTTTCTTCGTTTGCTTGTTCAAAAATCAATCTCTAGTGAGTGATATCTCGATGACCTAAATGAGTCACAGACCTTGCCTAGCAGACTATCATCTCAAACGTTAACATGGCTTATGGTTGCGGGTCGGACATGGTTGCAGCGCTGGTTAACTGAGCCGTGCTATATCGGGCGGTCCGCTGGTGCGACTGTGCGGGCTTGGCAGGTCCCTCCGCCGCCGCCCGCTCGTCCGCCGGCGGACCGCCCGGCTGACCTCGCTCGGCGCCGCTTCACTAACCCCCACGAGGAAGCTGACCTGTGTCCCGTGCCCGTGGCCCAGTTGGCGGCAACATCCTCCTTTTGATTGCCAACCCAGGCATGGAGCGGACGGAGGTGAGCTGCGCGCGCTGCTCAGCCCACCTGGGACACGTCTTCAAGGATGGACCCAAACCCACCGGCAAACGCTACTGCGTCAACTCAGAGTCACTGCAGTTCGAGCGGGACGACTCAATCGACGTGCCCGACGGTCCTCTGGAGTTCTTCCGCGGCTCGTGCGCTGGTGGCTCGTGCTCGGCGCGTGCCGCCCTCCGTCCCACGCCACCCCGACCGGCGGGTGCCGGTGCTGCCATCTCGCGGGTAGTCGATAAGTACAACCGCCTGGAAGGTAGCGCTAGTGGTCCCGCAGCGCCGCCCGGGACCAAAGGGCTGCCCGAGAAGGCGATAACGGGACAGATTCAGGGGGGTCAGGTGCTGAACGGACGCGCGTGAGAGACTGAGGGCTGTGTGGGGAGGGGAAATGCGAGGTTAGCTGTGTGTGAGGCCGCTACTGATTTGTGTTCAGGGCGCCCGATGCGAGGCCGCCCATCTACCGCTACGAAGCAAGTCTATCGCGTGTACTTGCGAGCGTGGCGCCGCGACAATGTGAAGCCGTAACGCACCATCGCCGTATTTATGCTTTTGTGTCCCAGCTGTGACTAACGCGATGCGAGCGAACGTGGTACCTTGCCAGCAGGGCTTCAATATTTTGTGAATATACGTGTTTTCAGTAATATGATGCACATGGTGTTTCTATACAAAGGTATTTATCGATTGTTTGTTATCACAACGTTCAACGTAGAACATGCAAAAGGTCACGCTTCCCATCGAATATGAAGGCGTTAGAACTCCACCAAGGTACCCTCGCTTATTCGCAAATAAGTACGTTGAAGACTCGAGCCATGACAAAATTTGAGACCTTTTGACTGATATATTATCACTTAACACATCCATAAATCATCACAGCAGCGACTGGTCCTCAGGCCACCCACCACTACAAGTGCCGCTGCGTCCCCTCCCCGTCCCACCGTGGTGCGTCCTCCCGGTCCTGGCAGTCTTCCTCCTCCTCCCGGTCCTCCTGGAGTTCCTCCGGTCGGCGGCGCCTGGAGCTCTCCCACTCCCGGAGGTCCACCGTGCTGCTCACTGGAGGGACACAAAACGGGAGAGGTTGAGACGTCACTGATGAAAGAAGGTTGTAAAGGACAGATACACGGCACAATACATTATCTAACACATGACAGGTCAGTAGAGAACAGATGACCAGGTGGAAAATAGTGTAGCGAGCACTGGGGCAGCGAGCACCATGTGGATAACAGTTACGAAAACGTGTTCCCCGTAGAGTAAAATCTCTTACTTGGGGAAACTGTTACGCATCCGGTCATATTTTCAAAATTATCGAATTTCTACGAACACATAGGTCATCCAGGAATTTTCCATGTCTTTTTACTAAACGTAGCCTCAATAGGTATTTGGCAAACGCTCCATCCTACGAATCAAGTAGCTCTAACTCTAACTGACCGACTGAATTGATCAATTCCATTTTCATTGTTCTCCTTACCTTTGTTCCGTCTCATCCTGGCCCACTTCCTCTGCTTAGTGAACCTCTCAAAGGAGAGCTGCTCACGCTGAGCGGGGGTAGCAGCGCCGACCGCAGGGACGGTGGGCGTCACGGCCTCTGGGTGCAGTTCCACCTGTCTGTGCAGCGCCGAGGCCTTCAGCAGTCGCTCCTCTACCTGGGGAGAGAGGGGGACAGGGTGTGTCAGATAGGGTATCGTAGGAAGGAAGTCAAGGTCAGACACTGGAACATGAACCGCACCATAACACAACAGGGCGGAGAGACACGAAAACAGTGCAGGATAACCTATTTGAGAGCGGAACCAGCCATTACCTCTCACGTAATTCCCACTCCTGCGCTAGTGTCTTTTATGCGTCTGTAATGACTGGGTACCCCCACCCCAGCAGTCCTATACCATCCCTCCTCCCGATTCGGCTCACCTCTGCGAGGATAGCGGCCCGGTTCAGCCCTCCGGTCGTGTGAGGCATCTCGAGCTCCTCAAACACGGAGTCGGGGGCCGAGTCATCTGATGAGCCGCCGTCCAGCGAGTCACTCCCCAGCAGGTGCTCCTGGGGACCGGTGGGTGCAGTCAGTCGCAGTGAGGAGGGATACGGAAACATGACTGTATATAGCACCCTGGCACAGTCTCTCAGCTTTGTTTTTACAAAGCATATGCTATTTTGCACTTTCTCGACTAGCTTTGTAAGTCATGTCAATTGGTGATACCTACATATGACTGCACGGTCCTATGCTGGCATAAATTATGAATGTAAATGCATACCGAGACACTAGCATTTTGCTGGGGTACAGAATCATTACTCCATTTCAAGCCAGCGTCGTCAAATATTATTCAGACAACTTGACAAAATCAGATGGTATTAGCAAGCGTTACCGGTAGAGACTGGCGAAAAATGACCCGACCAGTCTCTGCATTATCGTCCCGCGTTATCTGCGATGCCCATCTCAGGGGGAGAGGGAAGCTGAACTCACCGTGTGTTGGGCAGTGAGCGGCAGGCCGAGCACACCCTGCCTCTTCACCAGGTGGGTCGGGTCGGTCGGCACGAAATCGGGACCGAAGTCGGCCACGGCCAGGCGGCGCTCCACCTCCTGCAGAAGGCTGCTCTCCACGTCTGGGGGAGCGGAACAGGCGGGGAGTTCAAATGTCTGCGAAAATCAAACACTGTTTCACGAAACACGGCAGATGAACAAAATCATCAAGGACAGCGAAACAATCGAATTCATCATATACCTTACTGCAGTCTGAATAAACCAGTTTAAGCAATTATAGTAAATAGCGAGCACGAAAGACATTTTATCTAAGAGAGTTGACCACAAAAAATTATTCGTAGTGGAAAGGACTTTACTTCGTACTTGATGCATACTCTTCCCCTTACAGCTGAGCACCATCCAAAGAATATCCCCACTGATTCTACCCGTCTGTGTACGCACCTCTGACGAATTTGATGCCGGGCACGTGTCCGGTGACGCGCTGCTGAGTGAGCGCAGCACGCAGGGGTCGACCGGCCTCCTCCAATCGGGAGGCTATGCGGCGCTCGTCCGCGCCCGCCGAGCACGTCCAGAACACGTACAGAAGACGCATGTTGCCCGACAGCTGGACCTGAGAACGACAGACGACGGTGAGGATGAGGGTCGAGAGTCTGAGACATAGGTACTTATGCAATAATGACATACAGGCATGAGAGACTGAGGACATGGTTGCACGTCAGTCGTAAGTCACGGTGAACTGATGACCGGGTAATGCGACAGTTAAATGCGATCTATTGCAACATGGTGAGCGAACAGGGGTGTTGATTGTTGTGTGAACGAAGATCAATGCGTTACAACATTTCTATTCTCTGGATATCAGGGTTACGTTCTCGTGCCTTTATCATGTTTGCTTTCATAACAAAAAAGACATTTCAGAGCGCAGACGATTCGCCCCGGGTGGCTACAATGAGGTACCTCGCACTCGTCAGAAATAATGACGCAGTCAACATCTTGAACCAGGCCCACAGCTTAGAAACGTGTAACAAAAGGTTTCAATCGTGTGATTTCACCTCATTTTCTACAGACGAAGTTCACATGATAATACAGCTCGTGCAAGAATGCCAGGCAAAAAATGTTCGGAATGAAACGAATTTCGGAATTTCATTAAGCAGAGCCGCAGTTTAAATAATTTAAGGTATTTTCGATCACATATATCAGCATGGAATAGCGTAATGACCTTATAAAATTTTATAGGACATACTGTCTGTATGAGACTTCAACTTCCTAGTTCCTACAGGGGCTCGCAGCTTAGAGTTGAAACTCGAACAGTTTTAACGACGAAAAAATTGCAGGATGTCTGCCATCGTTTATAAGCCGTCGGCGAGATATCAAGTTCCAGACTGGTTCCGACACAACTGCAGTGTTTCAGATACCAGCAACCGAGAGCTTACTGTTAGCCACGATACCAGACAAGGAACGAGTCAAACTTTAAATGAAGCAGAGATAAAAACAAAATGGGACTACCACGACACAAATAACCGTCTATGCGATCGCATTCGCGATGTAGAAAGCTGGAAATTAGTTCTCGAGCAAACATTGAAAGAAACTGATGCCGAAATTGTGTCCCTGTCAAACGCGAAAACGGCAGCGGAAGATGAGCTCGAACAAAGACATTTCGACTTGGAAACAGGCCTGGAGACTCTGGCGATCCGGGAAGGCCGACGAACCGTCGATGTGGTCAAGGATGGGGTCGAAGTCGAACTGAACCAAGAAGTTCAGGTCATCAAGGACTACCGGAGTGAGCTCCAGGAGCGATGTAACCAGGCGTTTGAGCAGCTCAGTCGGCTGCAGGAGGCGCGTCAGAAGCTGCAGAGCGACATCACAGACAAATACAAGGCGCTCGACATTGACGGCCTTTGTCTGTCGATGACTCCGCAGAGTCCCAACATCAGCTTCAAGCCGCACTGCATGCGCATGCCGAAGGACACTGTCACCGTGCAGCAGTGGCAGGACCACTCGCGGCACAACAAGGAGCGCGCCGACTACCAGATGTGCCAGTCGCGCCGACTGCGGGACGCCATCATGGCCTCGCTGGCGCAGGGCCGTAACCGGCTGGACGCCCACCACACGGCCGTCCAGTTCGCGCTGCGACAGCGGCTGCACGAGCTGCACCAGACGCACGACGACCTCGTCTGGCAGCGCACCAAGCTCGAGCAGGAGATCGCCACTGTCGAGGAGGACATCCGGCGTCTGGAGGCGGCCATCCGCGATAAGGACCCCTACCGGAAGCTGGCAGAGACGCGGCTCGAGTACCGCATGGACCGGCCCAACATGGAGCTGGCCTACGACCCGCCGTGGCACGGCCTGCGCGAGGAGCGGCTCAGCATCCAGGCCACGCAGGAGCTGCTCAACGGCCGGCTGCAGCAGCTGTGGGACGCGCTGGACCGGCTGCGCCGACAGCTGGCCGCCGTCAACGAGGACATCTCGGTCAAGGCCAATTCGATCCGGCTGGACAGGCTCAGTCTGGAGACGCACGGGCGCACGCGGCCGCCGGCGCCGCCCAAGGACCGCAACTACCTGGACAAGGTGCTGCTGCTGCGACCCGAGAAGACCATCTGCGAGCGAGGCGTGCACTACCTGCCGCGGCCCGACCTGCTGCCCGGCTACCAGACCGAGCAGGACTGCTCGTATACGGCCGGCTGCTCGGGCAACCAGTACCGGCGGCCGTGCCACAACGACCGGGTGCTCGGCTGCTGAATGGTCGAGCCGCCGTGAACTGGGTCACAACCAGAGGGCCCGCCAGGTCGACACGACTGACTCGACCCTTGGTCGAAAGGGCCGACTCTGCGTGGCTACGCAGAGCGGTCAAAATTGCTTTGTGCGTGATTTTCGGATTGGTGAATTTGTCAAAAGTGTCCGATGTTGAATTAAAAGTTGCTGGTTATCTTGTCTTACCATAGAGCTGTCAAACCAGCAGTTGTCAGCTTCAAGTCCGGCATCGATCAAAATATATCTGTTGATGTCACACATTATTTACAGATCGGCGTACTTGAGTGAACGGACATAATTGCCCAAATACCGTCTCATTATTATTTTCTTATGCTTCGCCTTCGCACCCTTGCATGCAATTTTCCGAGGTTCTCATATAGAAGCATTACGCAGTGAATAACAAGCGTGCCGGCCATAAACTGGTGATAGTCGCCCAGTCCGGTGTTAGCCCTGCCCTGTCAGGTGCGAGGTATCACCCCAGTCCAAGATAGCACCCCATCGTAATCTTACGTCGGACAGTTCGGTGTCGCATCCCATCCCCGTCATTTGTGACAGATGATCTAACCTGGTGAAGGCTAGTCCGGTGATGTCGGCCCCACCCACTGTGGCATGCGCCCTACCGGCCTGTTGGCAGGTGACCTACCCTGGTGACGGCCAGCCCGGTGTCGCGGAGGGACGGTTGACCTACCCTGGTGACGGTTGACCTACCCTGGTGACGGCCAGCCCGGTGTTGGCCCACCCCGGTGTCGCGGAGGGACGGTTGACCCACCCTGGTGACGGTTGACCTACCCTGATGCCGGGTGACCTACCCTGGTGACGGGTGACCTTCCCTGGTGACGGGTGACCTACCCTGGTGACGGTTGACCTACCCTGGTGACGTGTGACCTACCCTGGTGACGGTTGACCTACCCTGGTGACGGTTGACCTAACCTGGTGACGGTTGACCTACCCTGGTGACGGTTGACCTACCCTGGTGACGGTTGACCTACCCTGGTGACGGTTGACCTACCCTGGTGACGGCCAGCCCGGTGTTGGCCCACCCCGGTGTCGCGGAGGGACGGGTGACCTACCCTGGTGACGGTTGACCTACCCTGGTGACGGTTGACCTACCCTGGTGACGGGTGACCTACCCTGGTGACGGGTGACCTACCCTGGTGACGGGTGACCTACCCTCGTGACGGTTGACCTACCCTGGTGACGGTTGACCTACCCTGGTGACGGCCCACCCTGGTGTCGCGGAGGGACGGGTGACCTAACCTGGTGACGGTTGACCTACCCTGGTGACGGTTGACCTACCCTGGTGACGGCCAGCCCGGTGTCGGCCAGGTCGGGTAGCAGCTCGCCCAGACACAGCAGCTCGGTGAGCCGCTGCAGGTAGATGGCGCTCAGCGCCTCCAGCCGGTGTCGGTGCCGCGCACTGCCGGCGCGCAGTGGTCGGATCCGCACCGGGTCCGTCGAACTGGCGGTGCCATCGTCGCCAGTGTCGCCGGCGCCGCTGTCCACCGCCGCGGGGGCCTGCAGCATCCTGGACCGGATCAGACGTCAGAGAACACAGAGGGAAACGGCACACTGGCAGTGACAAGTCCAGACAGTGTTAAATGATGATTTTCTTACTGATCTTTATTACACTGATCTTATTACTGATAAAACAGATGTGCGATTTTTGCCATCAAATGGATATTAATAAATGCAAGAATCAAACTGCTCAGGAAATGACAACACTGAGCAAAACTTGCCTCTCACCTTTCCTTTTTCTTGGCAGCTGCCATGAATTTCTTCATCATCCTAGCCTGCTGTTGAGCTGATATCATTACCCTCACATTATTCATGCACACAGAAGTGGAGACCCCTCGGCAAATGGCCACCAAATTCATTGGACGAAGAAAAGACATGATGAAAAGCAGAATCTGTAAGCAAAATGGTTTGTTAGGAGCCCTGATCGGCGGCCGGCTAGTACTCTTGCCCGCGCTCACATACGTGCACGTTACCCCGGCAACGGGCTATTGACCAATGAGAAGCGAGAAAAGTGTTACGTCACTGCGATTTTTCATATACCTGTGCCCCCCGGACGTGACGTAGTGTGCTCGCGCGCGTGCAGGGTCAGAGGCGATCGAAAAAGAGCGCTAGCAGCGCGCCACTCGACGCCGCAATTGTCAAAAGCGGCGTGTTAGGGCTCTCTCTATCGTCTGGAGGTTTCGAAAGATGCTCTCCAGAGATGGCGCTAGTAAATTTGGCTGACATGACGTCATGCTAAAAAGTGATGGGTTTTGTGAGAGCAAATGTAATAATAGTTGAAAATTTTGTACTTTTGCTTAATTAAGAAAAATAAATATACAATTGTTCAAAACAGTGTTTTCCTCATTCAACCTTCATTGTTTTAAGAGGAATATAGACAGTTTAAATATTTTTTCTTGACTGCAATTCGCACACGCACTAAATTAAAAGCTGGAGTTTTGTGCGTTCGTAAATCGTGATTTGAGAAAATAAGTTGACAATAATCTTTTGCACTTTTGCTTTACAATCATTTTTCAATGCAGATAAATGCATAAATTATTCGAAAAAAGGCATATCTTTGAAATATTATGATTTTCCACAAGCAAATTTTCCCAAAAACTTGAACTACTTACAACTGACGAACGCATCCAATAATCTGGATGTCTTAGGATGAGTTCGTCATTTTTTTCCAAGGAAATACGATACAGTTCAAGCTACTTTACCGATTTATTAGGGTACTTTTGCCAATGAATTAATAAATAAATGACAACAATCAATCTCATTATCAACCATACTCGGAAGAATTTTCTTCGCATAAGCGCGAACACATCCGCGCTTTCATGAAAAGTCACGCCTGTAGATGTCAGGACTGCTGCTTTATGTTTCGCAAGGTGGCGCAGCGCGCAGGGTACCGACTACCGAGGCTGAGGTCTCCAGACTCTCCACCACGATTTAACTTGGAAATGGCCGATGGGGAAGGTCTCACCCAAAAACGGACGCCCTTTTACACAACTGCATAAAGAGAATGAATTATTGGCATAGCTGACCACACGTCCCCTCCCCCTCTCCGCCCCAGCTCAATAGGAAATATCGCCTATTTTCCTTAGTCAGTTATATTCTGACTAATTTCTCACTCTTCCCAGTACACCTTAACATGCATGATGCAGATGTCCACTGCGTAAGTCGTGTGCTTCCGTAAGTGTGCCAACTGTATAGTGTTGCCTACACTCTACAGTGCCTACTGCTTCCCCATTGTCGTTATAATTGGTGATTCTCAGGTCAAAAGTTACACAGTGGTCTCAGAGAACAATCGTTTCAACAAATTAACGATTCAAACCGTTGCATTCTACTGATATTCCGGTCAGTTCTGCTACTAAACGATTCCGGCAAAACACTCTTTAGGTTATGTATTAGCGAACCACCAAACAAAATTCGCCCAATCAATGGTCAGTTATTACTGCTGGGCTGAACCGTCATACGCTATATAGCCTATTGCAGTCAATATTTTCAGAACGATACTGACTGACGAAACACAACGTATTCGCGGATTCGCACATACGTTGGCACCCAGGTGGCCTGTCAGCAGCCGCACAAATCCGCACAGCGCAGCCGGGATTTGACATTGAGATGGTACACCGTAAAGCATGCCTTTCCACACAGGCACAAGCACAGGGACACAAATTCTCAAAATCCAAACTTATTCCAATACTGGTCAATTACGAATAGGCATAAAGTTTTGAGGTTTTCTCATGTTCATTCTTCTTTCAACACACGCGGCAGACTGCAGCAGCTGCAGAACATCTCACAGAGCTGCGCTGGATGCAGTCATGAGCTGGGACACGGTTTGTGACCACTGACCAATGACCGATCGGGGGTGCCAGCCTCCTCCCGGCACGCGATGCACTGGCCGCCGCGCAGTCGATGTCGGGGCACCGCCGGCATTCGCCGACAGGGTTCCATCCGATTCGGTGTATTGGTGGCAGCCCGAACAGTGACCCACGCGAAGCTGGCGGACGTCGATGGCCGATGAGCGATGCCCTTCCGCGACCGGCGGTGGCAGTCGGTCCCACATCAAGAACAGATACCAGTCATGCGGTCAGTCGGCGACGGCGCTGTCGCGAGCCGATCTGATGGTCGCGCGGTGGGCGTTGCCGACGTCCACCGGGACCGTCGACTGGGGGAGCGCGGCCGCCTCTTGGCCGCCGCCTCTGGTCGGCGAGCTCGTTGCGCTGTGGGACGGCATCCACTGCAAGTCGTTCACTGTGAAGCGGTCGTTTGACCGGACCTGGCAGGCGGGGAAAGGGGGCCTCAGATGAAGTAAAACCATCCCTCAGGCCAGCTTGAACTGGCTCTCCACCTCACCATGTTAGATAAGCGGACACCCTCGTGATCATTGCAGCGATGATTGCCAATTGGTGTGTCATTATGGGAGAGGATGCCAGCCTCCTTTGCAAGATAGTCTGCCTTTAATATAGTGCAGCCCGACCCATTGCCTGTGGCGCAGACTGGGCTTGATAATGCAGTGCAGGACACACCAAACGTAAGCGGCCATCTGTACCCCCTGTGCAGTAGGGCTGACTCAAGAGCCCAGAGTTGCCCTCCCCCCACCATTCTGTGCACGTGATAACTGGATGGGACATGCCATGGTCAGCATCTGTTCAAAAGCTGCCCTAAGCATGTAAAGCTCCACTGGCATGCTCAAGCATGGTCACAGTCAGTTCTCACTTCTCAGTTGAACCTCCAATGGAAACCCATCACAAAGTAGAGATCAGGGCACCTCTCACACTGCAGCACACTTAACAACTGAGGCACCATCTCATCACTTGCAGGTGGTTCTTGCCAGGAGCAATGCCAGCCACGCACATCAGGTGATAACAGCAGTGTACAACTGCAATCTACAAGCATCCATGTTCTTTCTGGTTTTCTCCTGTTGAGATCCACTGCCATGCATGAACTTGATGGGCTTTTGTTGCGCTCCTCCCATGTGCAGACAGGTTTCTGCTGAAACAAAGCAAAGCAAATGTGATTAATAATGGCCCTGTTTCACCATCCAGACACTGTGTGCACTGGTAGCTACGGCATACCATAGCATCACTCAAATGACGTTGCATGTGATCTCTTAGTTTATGATCAATCGCGTTTGGAACAGAGTGAGAGGTTCTGAAGAACCGTACCAAGAACAGAGGTTTGAGTTCAAATACTGCTAGCATGCTGCTGGTGCTGGTACCGCAGCGTGCAGCGTTCTGGGATGCTGTCATAGCTTAGCGTCACAGTGAAGTTTGTTGACACTGCCATGGAAACCCAATGCTCTGACACACGCAGCGCACTGCAGTGCTGAGCACTGCAGTGCGTGCTCTGCCGTGAAACTCCACCCATGAACGTTGGTTGCATGACCAGGATGGAGCAGTGTGGCAGACAGTGATTTTAATTTTAATTGCACTTCCTAGAGATTAAAATGTTGTTGGTGAAATTGCTATTCATTATTCCTATTACCATTGTCTAAATTTCACATTTCAAGACAGTATCAGCATTGACATGTTATATAAAATAAGGTTTAGACTTCAGGTGGTCCCGGGTTCAGCTATTAAGTAAAACAAGGGCAAAAAATTGTCAAAATTTAAAAAAAATACCTGCCTTCATCAACACCTCATCTAATCTAACCTCATCCTCATCTAACAAGGCCCTAAAAGCAAAAACCGTTTGAATAACAATGCAATATTTTGCAACCGCTGCACCATTACTGTCACGTACGCTATCCCTAGATTGGTTGCTGGTAAGTAGTGGTTGTCGTCATCAACTCGTCATGCAGCAGCTGATTGGGATGGGCGGGGCCTATTTTTATCCAGGCGATAGAGAGAGCCCGTGTTAGTATGCTTTATTATGAATGATGTGTGTAAATTGTAAAAGTGAGTTTTTATGTTGTTTATTTGGTGGAGATGGTTGTAATAAATTAAGTTATTTTTATTTCTGTTGGTTGGAGTTTTTATTCAAAAGATTTCGGTCTATACCATTGATATTTACTGAAAATACCTTCGCTTGAATAAATTGCAGATATTTGGCAACTGAAGTGTTAGGTAAGCCTAAATGATATGTAAAAAGGTAAGAGACACCCTGATTATCATTTGAGAAACGAAAATATATGAATTTTCCTTATAAGACTCGCTCAATATGCTACTCCGCGGTTTATGCCCCGAGGGTGTCCGAGGGTTCCCGTTAGTTTGTCGTTGGCGCTCGGCTCGCGCGCGAGCCGACGTCACCGCCTGTGACGTCGGCTCGCGAAATACGTCATACCCTGCACACAAAATAGCCGGCTGCCGAACAGCGCTAGGCTGATTGTATTTGGGGTTCTCACTGGGTGTCAACAGCTCAGGTCAGTGATCTTACACCTTATCATCTCAATCTGTGTGTCTATGAAGGTATACCCAGACCATTGTTACTAGCATACCTAAGAGTCTAAGAGAAAGGAGGCCTGGTGAACAACTGCTGCTGGTCTTTGCACGCTGATCGACCCTGGAGGAGCACTGCACTGCACTCAACTGCACTCAATCTGCACAAAGCTTACCGGTAGGGTGTCTGGAAGCTGACCGGCTTTCCTTGTCCGCATTGCACGCCTCAGCCTTGGTCTTGCCTGCTATTGTTTCTTGCCTGTCCCTTCTCCCAACTGCATGGCACCGGCACGCCCTCGTGGCGGTAAGAACAATGCATCTGCTAACAGTCGTGCAGGTACTGGTGCTGCTTCTGCTCAAGGTGCCCCAACAGCGGGTGGGGCAGAGGGGGGTACTGATGCCGCTTCGGCCCAAGAGACTGATTCTGGCCAAGCTGCATTGGGGGATGAGCCACGGGCTGGAGGGTCTTCACAGCATGATGTGTTTCACTGTGGTATGTGCGAGACTGTGGTGGATGACTCTGCAAT